CCACATGCCCATATGCCCAGCTACTTGGCAGGCTGAGGCAAGAGAACCGCTTGAGATGAGTTCAAGACTAGCTTGGGCCAACACAGTGAGATCGCAGCCAAAGTAAGTGGCAGAGCACTGCCTGGCATCCCCAGGCTCGGTGCCAGCACCACACCATCAATGAATAAACAGACATTCTCTTCCTTTACAGGGTAAGCCTGTGCCCCACCCCAACGTGATTTATTTGAACACAAGAAAGAAGTGCCTGTCCCCCATTGCCATAGTTACTTTTCTGTTGCTGTGACAAAACACTCTGATGAAAGCGACTTAAGGAAGGGTTTAGGAACTTAAGGTTTAGTTCCTTCTCCAGTGTGAGGGTACAGTCTATGATGGTGGGAAACAAACATGGCAGGAGCCTGGGGCAGCTGGCCACACTTAGCACACAGGCAGGCAAGTGACTGCTGGTGTTCAGCCAGCTCTTCCCTCTTCAATTAACCAGATCAAGATAATCCCTCACAGGCATGGCCAGAGACTAACCTAACTAAGAAAACCCTCACGAGTGTGCCTAGAGGCGTACAGTCTAGGTGATCGCTGAGCCTGCCAGTTGACCGTTCACCCTGACATCACTGTCATCATTCTCGGTAGGAAGTCTGGAAGATGTATTGTGATAGTATAGAACGGATCCCGGCTTTGGCCGGCAGAGTTTTGTCCTCTAGCTGTGGCTCTGCCTTGCGATGTGACCTGGGCAGTCACTGTCCTCTTTGACTCTATGTTTGCTCCCTGCACAATAGGAAGAATAGTACCCAGGTAGTCGGTCTGGCACATAACTTAGTGAACTATGTCCAGCCAGCGTGGTGCTGCAAGCCCCAGAGATGACTCAGGACCTCCATCTCTGTGCCGGTCTGCCTTGTTCAGGCCATGTTCTCAACTGCCTCCTGCCCTTAGTTCCTCCTGTCCCGAGCATGCACTTAGGGAATATGGTAGTCCAGGAGCTGGCTCCTCCTAGGACCGTGTCCGGACACATCTACCTCTGATACAGGTAACCAGCAAAGGACAGTACAAAGGGGGCAGTCTACTCTTGGATCTGCTGATAGCTGAGGAGCCCCAAGTTCAGCTTGTTTTGTTTTTTTTTTCCTTTCCCATTCCCAGTCCCCACCAGATGCACACTGAGAACCTCCACAGCAGTGTGGTCGGTCTGTGAGAGTGAGGCTCCCATCCACCCACAGCCCCTCTGCCAGGTCGTTAAGAGCACTAACTGGTGGTAGTGCTTGGTTGATCTTGGAACACGGGGCTGACGGTGGCATTGTTGACAAAGGCACTTTATGTCAAATTTCCAACTGCAGGCTTTGTTCTGACTGTATCAAATGTGCACCCAGCTGAGACAGTAAGGTGAGAGAAGAAAACATCCAAGGCATTTTAGAGCTAAATCCTGCCTTGGGTCTGATGAGAAATGGAGAATCTGTGGGATTTTTTTTTTTTTTTTGAGTAATGTTTATTCAATCTGGAATGCTGATGTGGTTGAGGTAAGTGGTTTAGGAATGATTCAAAGCGGTTTTCACCCGAGTACAACTGTGTTTAAAGTGTTTAAACTAGATGTTTGCTTTGTTCTCCAGGGCTTTGTATAACAAGCCACGTGAGCCTGAAGTCATACCCATCAGATAAATCCCTGCATGTGGGAGAAAGAAAAGCTGGAGCTTCGATGACCTGCCGGGTTGGAGGCTGTGCGTGGCGTGGCCCTCAGAAAACACTCCCAGCTCCTCATGTCCATGCCTAATAAGCCACACTGTTAAACAGTGATTATTTTCTAATGGCAACTTAAAAGGCCTCCTTAGAGAAGGAATCAAAGTCATTTCAAAATTAACTTTAAAAAGAAGTTTGAGCCGGGCGGTGGTGGCGCACGCCTTTAATCCCAGCACTCGGGAGGCAGAGCCAGGCGAATCTCTGTGAGTTCGAGGCCAGCCTGGGCTACCAAGTGAGTCCCAGGAAAGGCGCAAAGCTACACAGAGAAACCCTGTCTCGAAAAACCAAAAAAAAAAAAAAATAAAAAAATAAAAAAAAAAAAAAAAAAAAAAAAAAAAAAAAAAAAAGAAGTTTGAACATATTGGACATTTTTGTTTGCTTAAGAGTGAAAAAATAGAGGGGAAACACCAATTCCCCGCCCCCCCAGCAACACATTTCTAACATCAGAGCTTTAAAATCCAGCAAGCAAAACACAAAACGCAGCATTTTGAAGTTCTTTCCAGTCTATTTCCTATCTGTATGGGTTTTCAAAAGACAGACGTAGGGAGGGGCTGGAGACAGCTCTGTGGGGGAGCAGGTATGTGTGCGAGGCCTTGGGTTCTGTCCCCAGTAGGGTAGGTGACTGTGCTGTGCACACTACTTGTACCCACTCCCACTTCAGATATGGCTTTTCCTACATCGTACTCATAAGCTTCGATGAGCATCGTGTCACAGAAATACCTGTACCAAGGCTGTCCCTGCTAGCCATGTCGCTGTTCCTCTGCACAGGCGGGCTGGAGGCTTTGCCATTACCGAAGACTGACACACCCCTGCCCTCCTGAGGGCCTGTGTGTCCAAAGGTACTATGACTTGTTCTGTTTTTGCTTTTTGCTGATGCATTTAGACAAGGTATTACTCTATATCCCAGGCTTGCCTCAAACTCAAAGCCATCCTCCTGCCTCTGCCCCCCTCAGCACTGAGACTACAGACGAGTCACCATGCCTGAGTTGACGCTAAGACTTCCATCTCTCTACATGCAGTGCTCAGCAATCTGATCGCCAGGTGCCTGGAAAACATTCTTTTGTTTGTTTGTTTGTTTTGGTTTGGTTTTTTGAGACAGGGTTTCTCTGTGTAGCTTTGGGGCCTGTCCTGGAACTCACTCGGTAGCCCAGGCTGGCCTCGAACTCACAGAGATCCGCCTGCCTCTGCCTCCCGAGTGCTGGGACTAAAGGCGTGCGCCACCACCACCCGACTGGAAAACATTCTTTTAAAGAAAACAAAAACAAATTTAAAAAGACATGAACTGAAAATCTTTGGAAACCAAGAGCAGTGTGAGTCCAGGTTTGGTTTGGTTTTGAAGAAGAGAAGGCAGGGTCCTGGAACCCTCCTCAAATCTAATACCCAGGGTCCTTGGGACCACAACTCTTTATCTGAGCCTGGAAGCCCCAGCTGAACCTGTTTCCACAGACACCCTTAAAACAAACCCCAGGGCTTGAGCAGGCTTGAGGCAGCCTGAAGGATGCTTTCTTCCCACAGCCTGGATGCTCCAGGGCACAGGAACCCCTCAGGGGGGCTGAAGAAGAAGCTCTTTGTGGATAAATTGAAAAGCCCTGAGAAGAAATCACAACAGGAGACGCCATGCATAATTTCCCCCAAAGACTTCCAGATCTCCTTTGAGGAGATTAGTTAAACTCTGGACAGCTTCCCAAGGAGGGTGCCAAAGACAGCAAACTTCTTTGACAGAGATGAAGCTTACCAAGACCCCAGGCTCTCTCCATCTGAGATGTGAAAGTCCTCAACTGGGCCCGCTGTGCCTCCAGCCTCAGAAATATTTTTCTTTACTTTCTAGAAAGTTTGACCCATGGAGAAATGTCTACCTCTATACGTTAAACTAATCGATTGTCTTTTCCAAGTTGTATGACCAAAGACTGCATAAGACATGAATGTGAGTGCTGTGTTCAAAGGCCCTTTCATGCTATCTAAGTTTAGCTAGAACCCTAAAGGCAAAACATTCCCAAGCCTCGGGATTGCATCACACCAAACCCAGCACATGAAGTGTGGGGGGGAGGGAAGTACCTCAGCACTTTCCAGCTCTACTGTACATCGGCTGTACTGACGTCATTTGTTCAATGGCAAGTAGTGACAGATGAGCTTGCCTGCTAAAACACATGGCTGAGCAGGACCAGGTCCTTGAGTTTTAATTGGCAAGAGGACGTGTCACGTGTATGCATAAAGAGGATCCATCGGTATCTCCTAGACTGTAGATTCTTAGAGTCTAGGGCGTAAAGAGGATTCATCGCTATCTCCTAGACGGTAGATTCTTAGAGTCTATGGTCTGTTTTCTTGTTGTTTGTTTTGCGTTTTGGTCACTTCAAACGAAGAACACAAAGCAATGTATTTTCATAAAGGTAGTAGAGTATGGACTGCAGAAGTTCCATAGCCCTCCTGGGACCTTATCAAACGATGCGGGCACTAGCAATTGTTTGGAAGGAAGTCTTGTTACAGAAAGAAGCAGGAGGGCAGATATCATGGGTTGGAAAGTCTACCCAGCAATGATCCCAGCGAGGCTGTGCCAATAGGTGCCAGGGGGAACATGCACCTCCACCCTCCTGCCTGGACATGGCTTTTCCTGTGTATTGAAGCCCAGCTGCAAGCCGTGCTGGGACAGCAGACCACGCCTCACCCCTGGCTGGACCCCATCCTTTGCCTGTGGTGTTTCTTAGCCAGCTTTCCTTAGCATTAAGACAGTGAGCAGCCACCATGCGGGCTTAGAACACAATAAACGCTCTTGTTTCGGGGGGGGGGGGGGGGGGGGGGCGGGGGACAAACCACAAAACTAATGGTCACAAAGACTAATGTCAACACAAAGACTCAAGTGTCTCCTGTACTGCTGCCCCCACCTTGGGCGAGTACAATGAGTCCTCTCTCACTGATTTGAGAGATGAGAAAAAAAAACGAAAGCCAGGAAGTGCAGGGACTGGACTATGGAGGGCAAAGGTGTCCCGGAAGGAACTTCTGAAAGGCAGACCCCCCTGTGTGATCCTATCAGGGTCAGCGTGTTATATCTGGGGATTAACACCTGGACAGCCCAGTGAGGCCAGGTCTCCTGCACTGAGCGTCTGAGAGGAAGCATTCAAAGGAACAGGGAGCAGCAATGCAAAGTGACTGTTTCCCTGGGGGATGCAAATCAAAGGTCGCTGTTGATGAGATTCGACTAAGGTCGGGATAAGAGCACACACTAGGGGTCCCATAGTAGAGACAGGGTTTTTTAAGGGCCTGCTGCCACTTGGCACATCACTCACAGTGTGGTTCATAGGGAGGAGGTGGGTCTCCGCAGGGCACACACTCCATGTCTTGAAAACCCACAAGTTTGGTCTTCCGGTAAAATCTGGAAGAGGAAGGAAAGAGTCCTGGTTATTGGTGTCGTCCAAGCTCACTGTTGCAGCCGGGTGTCAGTCACATTATCAGTCACCAGCTGCCTCTAGAACCAGTTCTTGGTGAAGTAAGAGGCACCAGAGGCTGACCAGATGGTGGACACTGTACAGACTTGGTTCCCTGCATAAAGCTCCCCAACTAGGGTGGGATGCTGGAAAGGAAATCCGGAGTCAGTGGCCTCTGGCAATTCTGTTGTGACCTAAACCACAAACACCTCTTAAGTAAAGTACTAGATTTAGCATTTGAAATTTAGGAGCCCAAACGCAGCACGTATATTTTCATTAGAAATGTTTGTAGGAATGTTACATACTAAGTATTAATTGTGGTTGCTTCTAGATGGTAGGAATTCAAGTCACTCAAAACTCTATCAACAAATTAATAAATTTATTTAAAAGAAAACATAAAGCATAAACAACATAGCTAATGAGCAGAATCAAATTAAAAATTATGATTACACTATTGCCTGTAAATTAAACTACAAGGACAAACTTAGAATCATCCCTGGGAAGGTGATGCTATAACTAAAGAAGAGGCCAAGAATCTGTCCTCCAAAGAGCATTATTCATAATTAAACCAAAGGCTGCATGGATTAAATTTTTTTCTGACTGGGCGGTGGTGGCGCACGCCTTTAATCCCAGCACTCGGGAGGCAGAGGCAGGCGGATCTTTGTGAGTTCGAGGCCAGCCTGGTCTACAGAGCGAGATCCAGGAAAGGCGCAAAGCTACACAGAGAAACCCTGTCTCGAAAAACAAAACCAAAACAAAAAAAACAACAAATTTTTTTTTCTGGTTTTTCGAGACAAGGAAAACTGTCTATGTATCCCTAGCTGTCCTGGAACTTGCTTTGTAGACAAGCTAGCCTCAAGCTTCCAGAGATCCGCCTGCCTCTGCCTCCTGAGTGTGGAGGCCTGCACCACCACCGGCCGCCTGGCTAAAATTGGTTTCAAATGCTTAAACTCCTAAATAAGCAAATGAATGCAAATTGACTTGGAAAGTAGGGAACAGGTTAGTGCATACACACAGGGTGTAGGGGGGCGGAGGGGGCGGGGGGCGGGGAATGATAGCAGAGACCCTGGTACCATCCCTAGAACCAAATAAAAGTGAAAACACTGGAGAGAAAAGAAAACAAGCTTTAAGGTTTACTAAACCGTATTCACATACTCACAGTCTGTCTTAACTCTAGTTTCTCAATCTTGGCTTTTTTAAATTACAACCAAGGTCTTCAGTCATTACCACTTGACTGTAATTCAGTGACTATCCTGTGCACCTGTGACCTTAAGTTTCCTGTGTGTTGTGAGCAGGTTGGTGACTCTGGAAACTTGACTGCAGTTTGAAGAAGGTCTTAGCTGAGTGTCCTTGTGGTGGCATCCCAGTAAACCCAGGAGACTGAGGCCAGGCAGAACTACGCAGGGAGACCCCTCAAAACAAGACAGGACCCCAAACTCTTAGATTCTTTCTTTCGGTAAGCCACCGAGTAAAACAGCGGCCGACCGAGCTCGGGACATTTCTGCCTGACTGTCCCACGGCACCTGTGGCTCCTCTGGCCTTGCCTGGGCACTGTGCCCAGGCAACACTTCCTGGCTAGTGCTTCTTCTCAGTCTTTAGCGGGCATTCAAACACGGCAGGACTTCTTCACCTCCGGTCTCACAAGCACGCTGGGTTTCGAATACATTATCTATTTTAATAAATTATTTTGGCAAATGGACTTTTTTTTTTCTTATTAGGGAAAACACAGACACCAAAACAAGTCTTATCACAAGGGGAATTTCTTATTTTTAAAATGTTAAATAATGTCTACATTCAATTCCAATACCTGATCTATCTCTATTTTTAAGTGGTTTTAGAACATGTATTTTGTGCCTTTAGTGTTTGCTGTTGAAACTGTTGGATATTACTTTTTCATTTTTTTTACACAAAAAGTTTTTCCATCAATATTTAATTTTTTGTCAATATTTAATTAAATTATATTTGGTAATTTTCTGGCTGTAAGTATAAAAATAATCAACATATATTACAATATTTACTCATTTATTTTTGTTTTTTTGAGACAGGGATTCTCTATGTAGCCCAGGCTGTCCTGGAACTCAGAGATCCATCTGCTTTTGCCTCCTGAATGGCAGGATTAAAGGTGTGTACCATCACACCCCGATATATATTACAGTATTTAACAAGACACATTTTAAATAAGAAATCTCAGGGTTGGGGATTTAGCTCAGTGGTAGAGCGCTTGTCTAGCTAGCAAGCTAGCACAAGGTCCTGGGTTTGGTCCTCAGCTCCGGAAAAATAAATAAATAAATAAATAAATAAATAAACAAACAAACAAACAAACAAATAAATAAATAAGAAATCTCCCTACACCATTGCTTCTTTCGTTTTGAGACAGGGTCCCACTAGGTAGACCAGACTGACCTCAAACTCATCACGATCCTCTTGTCTCTGCCTCCTGAATGTTGAAATGAAAGGTATGCACCACATTTGGCATCCACTGCCTTTATTTAAAATTTTTATACACATTTTTCTGTTGTGACAAAAAGGCACACCAGCAAGTTTCCCATCATAAGCAGTTTTAGGGGTGCGCTTGAACAGCGGGGTGCGCTTGAACGGCGCTGCCTGCATGCACTTGTAAAGCAGAGCTCCAGACTTCCTCGGCTTCCCAGGCTAAGGCTCTGGTCCTTTTAGTCCCTACTTCATGCTCAGTAGTTCCCTAATTCGCCTTCCTTCTGTTTCTGCAGATGGGACGACTCCACGTACCTCATCTAAACGGCAGCTATAGCATCGTCGGCTTGTGGTTGGCCTATTGTAGAGCACATCGTCGACGTTGGAGCATGTAACAGGACTAATGTCTTTCATAGGGCCAAGCAACCTTCTGTCCTGTTCCCTGGAAACATGGGTGTGTTGTTTGTGGTGCTCATCCATGTCTGTGAGCAATTGTGCTGCTTCCTCCTTCTGGAGACTGTGTATAGTGCCAAAATGACATGGGTGTAAAGATACTACTTCAGGTTCCTCCTTCTGGAGACTGTGAATAGTGCCGAAATGACATGGGTGTATGGATATCGATTCAGGACTCTGCTTTAGATTTTTCAGGTACATACTCGGAGATGGATTGCTGGTCATATGGTGTCTATTAGTATTTAAAGACTGCCATTCTGCTTCCCCAGTGGCCACAGAGTCTCCCAACAGTGCACAGCGGACAGCCCTTGACTCCCCCCAACATCCTTATTTTCCTTAGCTCTGTTTTGTTTGGTAGTAGCCATCTTAATGAGAAAGAAGGCACACAAATCCGTGTGATTTGATTGGCAGCTTCCTGAAGACTGGTGATGTGAACATCTTCTCATCGGCTCATCTGCCGGGTTGCCGATCATCTTTGTAACAATGCTGCTTGAGTTGTTTGCCCATTTTTAAAACCAGGTTATTTAACGTTTGTTGTTGTTGAGTCATAGAAGTTCTTTATGTATTTGGATATTAACCCCTTATCAGAGAGTTATAACCAGCACATATTTTTAGTGATTTTTTTTTTAACTTTTGTACCCCTGTGTGTGTGTGTGTGTGTGTGTGTGTGTGTGTGAAAGGAGGCCAGAGGTCAACTTTGAGTGTCATTCTTCAGCTGTCTTCCACTTTTTTTTTTTTGAGAAGGGTCTCTCACTGACCTGGAGCTAGTCAATTAGTCTGGGCTGACTAACCAGTGAGCCCCAGGATCCACCCCCCAACACTAGGATTGCAGCATGTGCCACTCCTCCTGGCTTGTTTGCTCAGGTTCTGGGGCTCAAACTCAGGGCCTTGTACCTACAGGACTTTACCACCTGAGGCACCTCCCCAGCACACGGCAGAGCTGTTCTCTTCCATTCCACAGCCTGTCTGTCAACTGTTGACGTGTGGATCATATGGTGGCTCTATTTACTGCACAAGAGATCTTGAGGGTGACCTGTCATCTTCACTTTTGGTGCCTGAAACTTTCTCCAAATCCAGTGTCATAAGGTTTTTCCTGCGGTTTTTTTTTCTTGTATTTCTGTAACATTAGGTCTTATTCTCAGATCTTTTTTTTTTTTTCAATTTTTATTGTTTTTTTTTGTTGTTGTTGTTGTTGTTTTGAGATGGTTTCTCTGTAGTTTTGGTGCCTGTCCTGGATCTTGTTCTGTAGACCAGGCTGCCTCCCGAGTGCTGGGATTAAAGGTGTGCGCCACCGCCGCCCGGCTTATTCTCAGATCTTTAAGGCATCTGAGGTTGATTTTTGTGCAGGGAGTAAGGTAGAGTCCAGATTCACTGCTCCCTTGTAGATATCCGATCTTCTCGACTCTGTCTCCAGGAGAGTCGTTCTCTTCTCACTCTCTGCCCTCGGCACCAGTGTCAAGATCTGTATCCGCGGGGGGCTGACTTCTAGGCTCCCCTTCGTATTCCTCTGGCCGGTTCGTCTGTCCTTGCGCCCATACACACGTTTGATTACTGTAGCTTTGTGACGTGCTTCAAAAAGAGGGAGTATGAGTTCTTCAGCTTCCTCTGTTTACATTGTCCGTGCTCTCAAGAGTGATTTTATTAAATCTGGTAGGAAACCACTATATCAGATATTATTTGAACATATTTTCATAGTCAAATCAAAGTAGAAGTTTGACCAATCACTGAATGCAGCTGGGATTTGATCTAACTTACCCAGTTTTGGATTTGGTCCCACTGTAAGTGGGACAGCTTCCTACTGTATTATTCATTACCCTGTTGAGGTCAAAGGTCAGCCTCCAGGGTCGTTCCTTCCTCTCTGTGTTTTCTGAGACGGTTTCTCTCACTAGCCTGGAATTCACCACACAGGCTACATTGAGCTAGGATTGCATGCAGGGTTGGCTTTTTGACGGTGGGTTCTGTGGACAGAACTCTGGTCTTTGAGTCTGCATGGCCATCACCCCATGCTAATTAGGTACACATTCCACCACTGAGCCACACCGCTCTCCCTTTAGTCTGTACCACT